TGTCCCTATGCTTCCAGACCCTGACCAGTTTCATTTCCCTCTAAATCCTTTGTGTACACACACACACACCCACCCACCCACACACACACACACACACACACACACACACACACTGCAACCATGAGTGTCTCCTAGGACTCTTTCTTTCATACCACGAAGAAGGTTCCCTGGGTTCATGCCACTTTAACTACAGCTTGTATTCCTTAACATGGAGACTACTCTGAGCATGGCGCCCTACGTGCCAAGTGTCTTTGGGGCAGCCTGAGGGCATAGGCCCTACCTCATATGACAAGATCCCACAAGTGAGGCTCTGGATCACGCATGACCTGCATGCAGCCCTCCAAGGCAGGCATTCAAATGGCTACCATTGCCACAAATGTCACATCATCTGTTGTCACACCAGTCATCAATTCTGCCTAGAACACCCTTCCCATCCCATATAGTGGTTTTCTGGCCTCCCTTCCCTTAGAACCAAGGACTGTACCTTTAGAAATCCTTCTGCTGGAATCTGCAACCATATACTGTCCACAGTGTCCCAGTATCAAGCTCCCCAGAGGGAAGGTCCTAAAGTTCAAACCTCAGGCTCCCAACTTTACAACAGTGTGAGCTAGGCAGTTCATAGCTTCGCATTCTATCCACATGGGGTCTCTACCAGGTGGGTCCACGCAGATCCACTCTGGCACCATGGAGATGGCCACATCTGCTGCAAAAGCATCCCACTTTCTCTCTGGCACACAGCCTTCCACCCTCGGTCTCTCCTCCAGGCTGATGCTCACATATACACATGCACACACGATTGCCTTGGATCTTGTTAGACGGCTACTTGGATCTAGCAGCTTGGGATTGGGCTTGTAATTCCACATTTCCAATGAGCTTGTGATGTTCTGTACTGTAGCAGCGGCTGGGTGCATACCCCAAGAGGTCCTGGGGCAGAGGCCCTCCATGCTGGTGGCACCTGCCAATCACCTGGAGGGAGGCTAAAACCTCCACAACTGGTCCCACCTGCACCTATCCAGTCAGAATTGTATGGGCTAAAGTTACCTCATAAGCCCCTCTTGTCCAAGGACAGATAACTTCCTGGAATGCTAGGGGCTGTCATGTTTTCACTTCAGTAAACATGGTTGGTTGCCCAACGGCAAATGATGTGCTTGTCAGATGTAGGCAGGAGGTACATAGGCAGGAAGTACATCAGGATGTATGGTTGCCCCTGATTGGATGACAACAGGAAGTACCATAACCTTGTGGGTTCTGCCTTTATGAGCCCCTGACCAACCTAATTCAGAGCCATTTCCTAGGAATATTGAGTCTGGACCTAGCCAGTGTCCATCATCCTGGTCAGTATTTAATAAAGCCTGCTTCAGTTGAATGACCATGGATTTGGTCTCTCTCCTTGGAAGTTTCAGGTTAAAAGGGCCTATGGTCTGGGGACGATTCCTTCCCAGAAGCTCTGCAGGATTTTCTGCTTTGCATCTAAGCATGCTTCCTCTCACCACATGGCTACTGGTAAAGTTTGGTGATGGCAGAGCAGGGAGGTAAAAGTACTTCCAGGAGCTCGCTGCTATGGTCAGCCCCAGAGGGGGAAGTGAGCATAGCCCTTGTCTATCTGGAGCCTTGTCTCTTCTCTGGTACCCACAACCCAAGCACAGGTCCTACACCCACTGCCAACAGCCACCTGCAATGCAGGAGGCCAAGGCCACACTGACTGTCTTCCAGTGCCTGAGGTGTCAGTCTTTCACACGAAGCTGCCTTGCAGGCCTGGCTGCTGATGAGGAGATTTGATGAAAACCTCCACCCTTGGACTCTTCAAAGTTTTCCACTCTACCTTACACACACACACACACACACACACACACGTAGTCATTTATAAATGAGCCAGCACTGGGGATCTGTAAACATGCAGTCCTATTTTATGATTACTGACATTTCTCCTTCACAGTGAAGGCTCCAGGAAGGGCAAATTATCTGGGTTAGAAAGCAATCAGGGCCCTGGAGAGCTAGCCTTGGTCAGCAGATTAACTGCTGCAAAATGTGCCGAAACTTTAAAAGGCACACTCCCTACCCTTTCTGTGACCTGTTCAGTCAGAGGAACCACCAGTGAGCAGTTGGGAGCAATGGCCATCACAGGGAAAGCCTGGGGGAAATCACATGAGGTCCAGATGGGGACAATTCTTGCCTCTGTGTCAGCTGCTGTCACCCTTCTGCCTCATGGGGTCCATTGCTTTCAGACAGGAGGGCAGCGGAAGAGTTGACTTTCCAAATCGGCAGATCAGTTTGTAAAGATCACAGGGCTCAACAAAGAGCCTAGGTCACCAGATGGCAAAGGCACTAACACCCAGGAATTACCACACCTGTGCTCACACAGAGCTCACTGAGAAAGAATTAAATGGAGGATGATATGAACTTGCCTCAATATACTCCTTGTTGATAAAGGAAAAAGAAAATCCAATCTGTCTTCAACGGTGATGGGTGTTTACTAGACCAAACCTAAGTGCAGGAGGTGGGAACGACAGACAGATTAACCACCGATGCCAGCCTGGGCAGAGCAAAGCAGCCGAGGCTTCCAATTTCCCATGAGCAAACTTGGACATCAGGAAGGGGTCTAGTGAAACCCATCTCTCGCTCTCTGAAAGGGCTGTAGGCTTTTAAGCCCCTGAGAGACAGCCACATTTGCGCTTAATGAGGTTAGAAGCATGGCAGCAACAGGCAAAAGCAATCAGCTGTGTCCCTGCAGATGGTCAGACTGCTGACCGGAGCACAGACGGCTCAGAATCAACGTGCTTGGAAGATCGGAACTGGGAGTGTTGTGAGCACTGTAGCCAAAAGGCAGGCTCTGGATGCCTGGGGGAGCTGCCTGCCTGTGCACACTTGCTTTTGGGCGACTAAGCACCAGAGGTATGGCAAGTGAGGAAGAAAAGGGCTCAAAACCCCAAAGAAGCAACATCAGGTGATTGCTAAAATGAACACAGGAGTCAGATTTCAGGGCTGCCTGGCATGAGACGCAGAACAGTGCCTAGCTTAGGCTCCTTCCATCAAGGGCCAGCCTCAGTCCACACACCTCACCAGAGGCTGCTTCCAGCCAACTCTGAGACACTCCCCAGACTGAGGAAGCTCACAAGGCCAGAGATCTGGCTCAGGAAGGTTGGGAGGTCATAAGCCTAGCGCTGTCCCAGGATGGAAGGAGTCCACAGGGACAGGCCTCATCCAGCCATCTGGACCAAGTAGGCCTAGAGCTCAGGTCACCTTCTGTTGTATGAGTAACAAGTTCCTTCTTTGACCCAAACCTGTCTTAGAAGGTTGTCTATCACTCACATTTGAAAATCTGTCCTCATTAATACTCTCTTTCTCCCCAGCAAAGCCAGCCTGTTTACAGTTTCCTTACCAGCAAAACTCAGAATTCTTTTGTAGCATGTATGAATACCCAACCAGCTCAATTTCACACTTGTTAATTCTATAAAGTTTCTAAGAATGCCCGGGGAGGACCTAGGGTAGGAATGATAGGAAGGTCCCTGCCTCTCAATCTGAGCCCTGGGTCCAGGTACCCTTTGCATAGTGAGAAGCAAGGCATAGCCCAGGAACAACCCTCAGTTCAGCTGAGGCTCCTCCAAGAGCAGCCATACCTTCAAAGGAAGACTTTGCCTCTTAGCAACCTTCTAGGGCCTACTTCCCAATAGCCTACTTCTTCTCCATTAATGGAAATTAGGGCCAAGCAAAAATTAATCTTCTATTCGGGAAAGGCATCATGGCCAGCCCAAGGCTCTACAGTGAACTAAAAGCACACACCAGGCAGATAGTATTGTTTTTCAATGGGCATAAAGCAACTCAACTTGCTCTGATATTCTGATAGCACAAATCAGATGTGGCAGAGGCACCACCAGGAGTAATGAGCTGGGCCTGCCTCTTACCTACTCCGTCCCTAATCAGAGTCCCTTTCTTATCCACTCCAGGTTTAACTCTGTCCTCTGCTAGGGGTGACGCCCACCGTTGCAATATTTCACTGACAACTGTGCCCTCTTTACTGCCCAAGGCAGTGTCCAAAGCCCCATCACACATGTAATTGATTTGTGATCACAACTCTGGATGAAGTGGTATAACGGCCCCTTTACATGGTTTGGTGGGAAAGGCACAGGTCTACAACCAGACCTGGCTGGTTCTGTCCCTTCCACCAATAGACCTGGGCTGTAGACACGTGTAAGAGCTATGCATGGCATCCACTTAGACAGTGACTGAGAGCAGAGGTTACTGAACACCATGCCTGACCAGTAGTCATGATGATAGGGCTACTGTCACCATCCTTGTGAATGAGAGCCCTGATCTCTACAGACCTTCCACCTTAGGTTGCTGAGATCTGCCTCCCTCTATGGTCATCCTCATTGGGTGTGAAAGCTGCCAGGAGGAGGGGCATCACCTCAACCAACCACTAGTGTCCACTCAGAGGCAGGGAGAGGCCCAACCAGGAGAAAGAGCCAAGGTGCTAGGGCTAACCACCTCTATGCCTTACTCAGCACACATACCCTCTAAACACACCATGACCCTTATGCCTGAGTTGGTTGTATTAAAGTTAACATCTTTGTAAGGAAAAACCATTTTGGACACAAGATACTGTTTTCCAAGACCAAACCCAAGACTCCCAGAAAGTCAGTTCCCTGAGATTTTGAAGCAACAGTGCAGATGGGTTAAGACCCCTAGCATCAAACCTTGAACAGTCACTTTCTACCTCTAACTTCTCTGAGCTTAGCTTGCTCTTCTGGAAGCCAAGTATCTAACTACCAACCAAAGTAGAGATGGGCCACGTTCTTAAACTATGTCCAGGATACAGAAACACAGGGTTACCTCAAACAAGCCTATCTTCTCCCTTCTCTCTTCCTTTGACTCTGTGGTCCTCACTTAGCCATGGGAAAGGACCCTTCTCTCCTTGTCACAAAGCCACAGGGATTCATTCCTCAAAGGTCACAGGAACCTCCCATCACTGGCCTATCAGAACAGAATCGGCATAGTCTCACCTGTAGGTGGCCACCTCCAAGCTGAGGCCAGTCTTCACCTGCACAAGTTCCTGGTACTCCCGCAGCCGGTCAGCCATGGCCAAGGTGAGGGCTTCCTTCTTGTCCTCCAGGCTGTCAATCACTCTCTGAAGAGAACAAAGAACCTTTAGAACCCCATCCCAGAGCTTCGTAGAGTGAACTAAAGATACCAACAGTGGGGGGCATATAAAGAGATATTACCCTGTACAGATAGTTTCATATAATGAATTTCTTGCAGATGGAAGGTTCTCTATTACAAACAGAGGATTTTGATAGGATAGGTGCTTTTATGTTTGGATTTCCTGAAAAATAAATGCTTAGTTTATTAAAATCACTCCTGCTTTAGATATCAGGCCACATAGGAGACCCAAATACATCCAACCAGGCAAGGAAGGTACTACTTAAAAATTAGCCACAACTAGAAATCTTTTTATAATACTTAAAACAGAAATCACTCTCATGTGCACTAAAATATCTCCCAAAGTCATCACTGTTTCAGTAACAGCAGATATGTGGATAGAAAGATCTTTATTTTACCTAGAAATGATATTTTTAAGTGATCTGAGGAGAAATGCATACTGGGTATAAATGAACAAACTCAGACCCGTACAAAAATCTTTCTTTTGGAATGGAGTTGATAAGCCCCTCCCACCTGGTTAATTTCCTCCATTGGATCTGCCTTATCCCAAGCTGGGAGACACTGCCATTCCTGCTAGCAACTCCTGGACAGAGACCACCACAGGTCAGTCACATAGTACACACCAAGTGAACTGTTAAGATTAAACGATCAAGTTGACATTACCCTCTTCAATACTTCTGATTAATGTACACTTTACAATGTTGTGTTTTCTTCTTCACTGTTGACCAGTCCCTCTGGGAAATAATTAACCAAGCAAATATTTAAACACTAAGTAAGTATTCTTGTGACTTCTGTAATGGGAAATAGCATTATGTGTGAATGTAATTAACCGAACTCTAATTCAACCTTTATAGAATTCAAAACTATGCGAGTGTTGGGAAAGGTGATGTTTTCAATATTGCTAGAAATCCCCACCAAAAAGTCATCAGTGGGTATGTACTGTATGCAAAAACAAGGCATGAACTCAACAGAACCCTGGAGTCCTTGTTTGTATTATTTTATTTTATTTGGAACGGGGTCTTTCTATGTAACCCTTGCTGTCCTAGAGTTGGCCAGGCTGACATCAAATTCACAGAGATCCTCCTGCCTCTGACTCCCGAGTGCTGGGATTAAAAGTGTGTACCATGTCCAGCTGGAGTAAACATTTTCAAAAGATGATTATCATGTAGGTAAATCTGCTATAAGAAGCACTTCTGTTTACAATGATTGTTAAGATTTTTATATACAAATGAGGCCAAAATCTTTAATTTTCTTAAAGATTTACCTGATTTTTAAAGGGTGTAGGTATGCATGCTGTTTTTGTTACAGGTTTTAATGTATCCCAGTGTGGGGGTGTGGGAAGGAGGGGGTGTGCATATGGGTGCAGGTGCCCATGGAGTGCTGGGAAATGAACACTTACATACACTTACATCATCAGCTGAAAATATTTCTAAAGCAAAATTCACCTAGCTTGAAAAGCAAAGGAATACATTTATAAAACAAATTAATGTGGGGCTAGAATGGTGGTTCAATGGTTAAGAGCACTTGATCCTACTATAGAGGACCTGGGTTCCGTTCCCATCACCTACCTGGTAGCCCACACATCTGTAATTCTAGTTCCAGGGATCCAGTGCCCCTTTCTGACCTCTGAGAGCACCAGGCATGTATATGGCACACAAACCCATAGAACAAAACAATCTAATTTAAAAAAAAAAAAACCATTCACATTTCAGGGCATGTTAACAGATCCCAAAGCTGTCATTAGAAGGAGATAGTGCAGTTCACCAAAGCAGATTGCCTGCCAGTCTTAAGTGACAGAGACATCAGGTCAGGCTTACTGTACAGCCAACTCTCCATATTCAAAACCTGTGTTCCCCAGAAGAAATACAAATTCAGATGCAAAGTTAAAATTTAAAATGCACCCCTGTGAGCATGCACGTGAGTGTGTATACTGGCGAGTGTGCACAGAGAGCCTCTCACTATAGCCCAGGGCAGCCTGTAACTCACTATTCTCTACCTCCAGAGTGTTGGCATTACAGACGTGTGCCACCATGCCTGGCTTGATGTCTTTTCTAATACAAGAAATGTGACTTAAGCATTAGAACTTGAGGGTTTATCAATTATCCTTTGCAAAGAAGTTACAAGGAAAAAAATGTCAGATGAACTCAGTTTCCCACACACAGTTCAAAATTATGGAGCCATGCCACAGCCCTGCCCAGGAATATGCTCTTGCCTCCCCCAAGACAAAGGCTAGTTCTCTGCACCCCACACCACAAAATATGAACAGGAAAATAAAGCTGCTCTGAAGTTGAAATAAATTTAGTTCCAAGCAAATTTCCGTGTGAGTCAACTCTTCCCAAACGGTGAAAGGAAAAGCCGCTGACTTTTGGAGGCAGGAATGAAGCCAGAACCAATCCTGACACTGGGAGGAAGCTTCTGGCTCCAGCTCTGCTCTGCCAAAACTTTTCCTACCATGGGCCTGGCCAGGAGTGCTGGAGCCTCCCACACAGGGTGGTACTTCCAGCCCACACAGAAGCAGTTTTATCCAAGGCTGAAAAAAATCTCAGGGTCTTTTAACTGCTATGCAGAGAACTTTCCAGCAACATCATGTACAACGCCAAGGTCTCACTCTGCAACCGGGACTGCACTCTGCTGTAGTCTCTTCATCATGCTTGAGCCTGCCCTGGCTGAACGTATCAGATAGAATGACCAGAGCCTGCTAATGTCCTAGTTGCCTGGGATCTTAAATGTTGCAGCTTAAGGCGACTAGGATATTTCATTCACACCCAAATAAATTAATAAGAAGCATGAACTGAGCCAGGTGTGGTGGCACATTCCTTTAATCTCAGGCAGAAGCAGGAGGATCTTTGTGAGTTCAAGGCCAAGCTGGTCTACATAGAGGGTTCTAGGACAGCCAGAACTGCATAGAGAGATCTTGTCTCAAAAGAAGGAGGAGGAAAAAGAAGAGAAACAGCAGCAATGTTAATCCAGTGCTAGTATGTGTTTATAGTTGTACCAGGCAGCACCCTAAACTCTAGGCTTATCTCCCAGTGCCAGGAGGGTATTTCAGAGGCATCTCAAACTTCTGACCTTTACCTGCCATCTGCAGAGCTCTCCTTCAGCAAGGAGTGCCCTTCTTCCGGTTGCTCTTCTACTGTCCTGGGGTCAATTTTGATTTTTTCCCCCTTTCTCTTCCTATATCCAACCTGTCAGCTAACCTTGATAGCTTGAATTTGAAGCTATCTCTACCTCCTTCCTCACTCAGGGCAGCACTTCTGCTCCTGATCCAAACTTCCAGCTGCCTTAGTTGTTGCAAGTGTGTTGTGGTAATATGGTCTCCCTGATCCCATACTGATCCAGCACAGACTATGTTCACCACAATGAAGGATGATCCATTAAGACATTCTCTGTGCTCAGGACTCCCTGGGGGTTTTCAGCGGAACTCAGATTTAAAAAGAGGCACCTGAGCAGCCACACTCTGCTTCATCCTCTGTCCCAGCCACGCTGGCCTCCTGACTTCTCCGTGAGTGCTGATGTGCACTGGTGCCACCTCAAGCCATTTGCCATCAGATCAGGTCTTCTTTCATTTTGTTATTTTTCACTGCTTTATCCCCTAACCACAAAGCACCCTGAGTGCTTGACAACTAATAATTGAATAAAGTAATTAAAGTCATTCAACCAATAGCGACCTGGGAGCTTCATTTCCACAGACTATACAAGGGTTGATGAGCTTGAGGAAATCTTATACTAAGAGACAGAGAAAAAGTCAGACTTCAGTCCAAAACAGAAAGGCTACAAGAAGGCCGAGCCTTAACTACATGACTAATCCTGCCTGTGTTCTTATGAAAAGAAATGTCTCACTCATATTTTGGAGTCATTCACAAACAATTGGAGTTGGCAGCTAAGAGCTCCCATTACAGGAAATCATCAGCATATCTAGGGTAAGGCTGGAGTAAATGATGTCATCAAGGCCTTTCTGGGACCCCTTACAGGTCTCCCAACATCTCCTGCCACTAGGATACAGAAAAGGGGCAAATGAAAGAAATAATATTAAAATCATACACCAGGGAGAAGGATCTGAAAGCATCCCAAGGTTCTAAAACAGCAGCCCACCGCTGGGCTGGCTCTTAGAGCAATTATCATTTCACTGATGCAGTGGTAAAGGTTTTTCTTGTGTAAAACAGAAGAGAGAAAATGTGGTGAGCTGCTCCCATCAGTCTGGATGGAGTTTTGTTTTGGCCACTTACTGACTAGTGACCCACCATCAATATTACCATCTGTAAAGCGGGCTAACCTTAGTCTCCACCTCCTGAGATTGGTGTGTGGATTAAGAGTGAATACACAGACTAGACCTGATACTCCCCAAGGCTCGCGTTAGTGATGCAACACTTTTTCAGGAAGTCAGCTAAACCAGTCTATATTTTCAGTCTCTCCAGAATGAGATTCTAAGGAATTTGGAAAAGAAAAAAAAAAGGATGGAAGGAAGGAAGGAGTAGAGGCTTGGGGTTGAAACATAATTTCTTTTTAACTAACATAATTCTAAACACTGTTTATGATTGGTGATAGATCTTTTAGAATAGGATCTGAAATGCCATTTGCTTTAAGCTGAGAAAGGGGTCATAATATAGTTAAGACTGAAGCTGGTAACATTTAGGAAAAAAAAAACAAAACACCTAAACAAATTGAGACAGAAGAAAAGGAAAAAAAAAAAAATTCCTGGTCGATATGTCACTGTCCTGGCTCTCATTTCCAGGGGGAGGAGAGGGCAGGTTGTATTGCAAATCAGGAGTGACCTCATTGTGACTTCACTAGTGGCTGGAGTCCTTGCGGAGAGTCTGCACAGTAATTCTATTTGCATTTTCAAGACCTGATCGTTCCTCCATTGGGGGACTCTGCTTCTATCTGTCTCAGATTTGAGGTCCCACTGAAGATTTCATGGCGGGGGAAGGCGCTGCTGCCAAAAAGAACCCTGAAACCAGGCCCCAAAATATGCCAGGCAGGATAAGAGAGGGAGGTGCCTGAAGTCTACAACCGGAAAGAAAGGATTCTCAACAGATGATTCCTTATCCCTGTCCATGATCCGGATTCAGTCTCCTACTCTGTAGCTACCAAAACACTATCCCTGCCCTGGGGACCCAGAGCAAATCAAGAGATCTGCGATTACCTCACACCTGTCTGTCGCACCACAGCCAACCACTCCACACATCTCACGCTCACTTGTGATTTTTAAGGAAACACAGCCCCACAGCATCTCCAACCTGCAGCCCCCAACTGCAAACTCTTCTCTCAAAGTCCTCCCGAAGTTATGCTCATGTTATTTCAAACCAACTTCCCGAGAACTAATAGTATGATTTGGGAGTACTTCCAATTCTGGCTGGGACTGGACAGGGGTGGTGGGAGCCAAACAGTAGGGTTGAACGGAGTGTACAGGCAATATATCAGCCACAGGTATACCCATGCCATGTCAGAGGGTTAGCCCTCAGCTGCTCTGAAATAGGAACCGTTTATATAACTCTGTAGTTGTAATAACATCTCACCACGGGGACCTGCTTTCTCATAGTTTTTACACAACCCAGAGATCTGCCGCCAGCTCATACTGTGAGCAAAACAATTGTGACCCTTTTTCTGTATGACAGTGACTTAGTTCTCTCAAGAGAACAAACAAAACCCAGAAAAATATGGTGGCCGCCCAGAGAGGTGCAAGCAGCTACCTCCAGCTGGGAAATAATTCTGGTAAAATTAAAGAGGCACTTGGAACCCTAAAAGAGTGAACAACCTTTAGGTAAGGACTTGGCAGTGCCTTGGAACCTTCCAGTATGCTGCCTGTCTGAATCTGAAATCTGGGCTGAGTTTTGGGTTGCAGGCTGCTAGATCTAGCAAGCCCAGGGAACAAGAAAGAAAAGAAAAGCAGGGCTAGCAGGATCATGGGTCAGGATGTGCCTGGACACGTCTGTATCTAAAACTGACGCTCTAAGCTATCTACCGGGACCTGTCACATGCCATCAGCCCTTTGAAAGCTCATTGCACTAAGCCCTTATTCTTAGGCTAGCTACATGCCCGGATCCTGTGGCCTCATAAATAATAAAGCTGCTGGTAGTATACGCTTCCTTGGGTGGGGTTGAACTGGCTCCGGGTCCAGGGAACCCCGCCGCTTGCCCAATGGGTGCGCCACGGTGTCTGGGCAGGCTCTAGGTCAGGGGCGCGGTCCCTGCTCACGGACCTGCCGCTCCTCTGCCTGCATCCCGTACTCCTCGTGCATCCGCATCAGCTCATCCTCCAGCCGCGCGCGCAGCCGCTCCAACTCCAGCGCCTGGTTCCGCAGCGTGTCTGCTTCCTGCGCGCACAGCCGTGCCTCGTCCTCCGCCTGGCGCCGGCTCTCCTGGCCACGGCGCAGCACCTGCTCCAGCTCGCGCACCTCGTCCTCGTAAAGCTGCACGCTCTCCCGCCACGACTCGGCCACCAGGAACGCATAACTGTCGTGCACGTCCTGTAGGCGCGGCGGGGGCGCGGCGGGGCCCGGGGCGCGGGCTCGGAAGTGCATAGTGAGGCTGGCGGCGCGGGAACGTAGCTCCCGCACTTGGCGCTCGTGGACCGCGTCCAGGTCCCGGCGCTCAGCCTCCAGCCGGCCCAGCAGTGCTTCGAGGGCGGCGCGTGCTGCCAGTGCCTCCTCCAACTCCCGCCGCTGCGCGCCCAGCTCTGCGTCAAGGCGGCTGCGGGCAGAGCTGGCTTCCGCGCCCTCCCGCTGAAGCTCCAGCAGCTCCCTCCTCAGCGCGTCGCGCTCGCCCTCGGCCAGCGCGGTGGACCAGCTCAGTTCATCCAGCTGCTGCCGCAGGCTGCGCGCCTCCTCGGCGAAGCGCGCCTGGTCCTCGATCCAGAGGTTCTCCCGGCTCAGCTGGCTGCGCAGCTCCTCCTCCAACAGCAGGTTCTCGCGCTCCAGCTCCCGCACCCGGCATACGTAGTCATAAAGGCGAGCGTTGAGCTCCTGAAGCTCGGCCTTTTCGGAACCCGTCTGCAGCCGCCAGGACAGCATTTTGTTGGTTGTGCGGGGCTCTTTTCGATTGACCGCTTGCCTCCTGCCCTGATGTTGTCCCCTCCCGCCGCGTCGCGCCCGCCGTGCCGCTGCCTCGGAGGCTCTCAGACTGGCGTTCTGGCCAGCGAGCTTCGCCACTTAGTGGCCGGGTCGTGCGGCGGTAGACTAGGGCCACCGCCTCCAGCCAATCAGAAAGCGACCCGCGAGGCCACTGCGGCCGAACAGCGCCCCCTGCCAGGAAGATTGCGACTTTGTGAGACTGCCCAGCTCTGACCCCTGGTGGCCCAGGGTTTTGGATTACTGCGTGCTGGCTATCTGAGAGGCTTTTTAGGGCTCTCCATGTTAACCCTCCAGCGCACCTGAGACACCCCAAAGTCTCAGATTTCCTTAATGAAAAATAAATTGCCATTAACTGAGACATGCCAAGTACCGGTGGCGGGCCTTAACAAATAGGATGTTTCTCATTGGTGGAGCTGGAGATGGGGAACATGGTGTATTCTTTAAACACATTAGGTTTGTAGCTCAATGATAAAGTGTTTGCCTAGCATGCACCAGGCTCGGATATCAATACCCACCACAGAAAACTGTGTGCATGTATATTGCACATCCACAGATACATATATACACGTATATCTCGTTTTAGGATACGACCATTTTAGTGCTTTTAAGAGAGAGAGAGAGAGAGAGAGAGAGAGAGAGAGAGAGAGAGAGAGAGAGAGAGAGAGAGAGAATATGAGTGCTTTGCCTGCATGTATTATGTGCACTACTTCCATGCCTGGTGCCTACAAACTAGAAAAGAGAGTCAGATCCTCCTGGAACTGGAGTTAAAGGCAGTTGTAAGCCAAAATGTGAGTGCTACAACTGAACCCACACCTTCTCTGGTCAGTGCTCTTGACCACTGGGCCATCTCCTCTCCTCTTGGCAAAATTTTATGTTCAAGTAAGAGTCTCTTCTCGTACAGAATGGGAAACCCTGCGCTCTTCTTACTCGCACAGATCACCTATTTGAGACTTTGTGCTTTGCAATATCAGCTTCATTCTGGTGGAGGAAGAACTCCGAAAAAAAACTTCGAAGTACTCTAAGCACAGAACATTCCAGACACCTACCATCTCTCCAACTTTTGCAACTGCCTGATATACACCCCCACTGTGACAGCCAGTTTTCTTTCAACAGTGTGCCCTTAAGAAACGCTTAGCTTAACTTAATTACCATAGAAACCACAGCTCTCTCTGTTTTTGCATAGTTGCATTTCATTACATTACAGGGCAGTTATTTAAGTTACAAATAACAGTAACCAGAGTCGGTAGCATTAAGGAGTGCAGGAATAAGCTCAGCTGCATGGGGACAAGAGCACAAAGAGAGGTCTGGAAAAGTCACCCAGTGGCTCTGGGGCTCTTCAGTGATATTTTCAAGGGCATGGGACTATGTTTCTCAAGGTCACTTGAGGAAGCTTTCAGGGCTCTCCTGTCCACAGGCCTGTCCACAAAGAACTGTAGAAAATATTTCTTTGTTTCTCCAAAGACTGCATCTCCAAGGTGCCATTCTGCAAGGGATAGAAATGAATGTATCAAGTGGACGTTCTGCCCAGCTCAGAATTCCCATTCCTTTTCTGCTGAGGTGAAGTGGCATGGAAGGATGTGTGTATTCAGCACCAAGGAATTGGGGCTGGGAGCCCTAAATCCCTTATCTTATCTCTCCTTCCATTCACATCAGGGACACATCAACACTGATCTCTGGTATTCTTCACCAGACCTGCCTGCTTATACCCTCTCTGAGCATCCTCTCCTTGGTCACCCCACAACAACAGACCATCACAGGGCAGCCTTAAAGTCACCTAGACTCAGCTGGAACCATCCATCTCCAGGGGCATTAGGGGACAGTCGGCAGGGGACAGATCTGCCTGGGAGTGGGGAGCTTTCATAGACATCCGTGGGCCTCCTAAGAGATTGCTCCTGGCTTTTTCTTGCCCCATCCCCTGGCTTTTTCTTGCCCCTGGATTTTGAAACTCAAAACTTCCCCTCTCTTCTGCTGTAAACCTGTCTCTGAGAAAATGACTGTCCTCCAGGGTATAGTTTAGCAAAAGAAAAAAGCAAGTGCCAATGGGAATATTGCAAAACAATGTCCCATTGATCACACATAATCCTCCCAGAGCTGAGACTTGGAGGCATGGACTAACTTCCCTAAACACATGGCTGCAAAATGTGGGAAGGAGCAAGCATATTGGCGTGACTGGGGCAGCTAACTTGAGCAGGCAAGGTCTGCACAGTCAAAAGGAAGAGAGGTTAAGTGGGAGGAGGGGCTACTTGCAAAGGTCTGTGTTGGGCCAAGAGGTGCCAGTGGCCAACAGAATGGCAAACCAGAGGCCTTTAGTATATTAGTGCAGGGGTGCCTGGAGCTCTGGGGAATGGCCCCCAGAGGGAGGAAAGCTGCAGAACAAACATGGGAGGGAGAAGGAGAACACACCTCTCTCTTCCTGCTGCTCTCCTGCCAGGGTCTCCCACTGTGGAAGCCAGAAGTTGCTGAGACTTGGCAGTGGTGTTTCAGATAGGACTCTCTCAGCGGGAGACTTTCGGCTGTTACACTGGAACCATGGGGTCAACACAGCCCTTGTTGAAAATAATTACACAGGATTATAATTCACAATACAGCACATGTTCTAATCATTCAACAGATAGAGACAGGGACACAGAGATGAAAGACAGGCAGGGCCCTTTTAAAAGGGAGCATAGTGAATGTGCTCTTACTGGCTGCAGCTAAGGGTGTATCCTGTCAGAACCCCAAGGACAGGCCAGTAAAGATGCCTGAATATTAACACTATCTGTGAACATCATGCCAGGGTGTTGAATATTTGCACTGTAGAAATCAGTGATTTGTTATCCTCGCCTGAGACTTTGCTTTGTGGGTTGTCTAGCCTCAAGAAAGCCTGCTTAGTACTCGTCTACTAAGAGATTTAGCAGTGTGTTATGTTGTAGTTATTGAATTGGGAATGGCATAAAACACTGAAGAATGTTTCCCCCAGTGTTTCAAAACAATGATCCAGGTCAGTAAAGACATTTGGAATGGAGATTTTTCACTATTTTGCCTTTGATAAACAAAAATATTAACAAGAATTCATGTCTTGCTATACCCATTCATCAATTGCAACCTGAGTACGGAGCCTTCAGAAACATGAATACTACGAATATTCTTTGAGAGTCAATTGAGTCTATGAAGTCTATCATAAGGAGTATTGGCCATTCTATTATTGCTTATAATAAAAATGGGAACCCTGTCTCAATGCTTTCACAATATAAAGAGCTATGCATTTTCATTAATGTCTTGCTAGAAAAAAAAATTCCCTGTGTTCTTTATTTCTTATTTTCATCCTTTCATTAAATATAGTAGATAATCTAAACTATGTAAATATAAATGTATATTAGAAAATTGATTCATACATGTATATAAATGAGTATACATAAATATTTTTATTTAACCATGGAATTAAAATTTTTTTCCAGATTGAATGAAAAAAGGGGTCTTGTCTTAGTCATTGTTCTATTGCTTTGAAGAGACACCAAATACTAACTCATAAAAGGAAAAGCACTTAATAGAAGAGGGCTTGCTACAGTTCCAGAGGCTTAGTCCATTATCCTAATAGGGAGCATGGTGCCATACTGACAGTCATGGTGCCTACTGGAGAGGTATCTGAGAGCTTCATCTTCATCACCAGCAGACTCTCTCTCTCTCTCTCTCTCTCTCTCTCTGTGTGTGTGTGTGTGTGTCAATCTCATTAAAATCACCACAGGTCTCTAAATATTTCTTTCTAGATTTTTACTGCTGTTTTAAACATGGTATTTCTTGCTATGGTGGCTGGCACATGCCATTAATCCCAGCACTCAGAAGGCAGAGGCAGGTGGATCTCTTGAGTTCAAGGCCAGCCTGGTCTCCAGAGTAAGTTCAAGGAGATCGAGGGATACACAGAGAGAAACCCTGTCTTGAGTGGGGGGGGGGGGGAGGAAGAAAACCGGGATTTCCCTGTGGTGTAGCTTTGGAACCTGTCCTGGAACTCACTCACAGAGATCTGCCTGCCTCTGACTCCCAAGTGATGGGATTAAAGGTGTGTGTCACCACTACCCAGACGTTATTATTGTTTTTAAGCACACTCTTTGGCAGGCAAATACCTTAGGAACCATCTATACAGTCTATTATCTGTTTTGATGGAAAGAGATGGGAGTACTAGCACATAATTGGAGGAAAACAGGAAGTGGATTTAAGGGAAATCTGGAAGTTGTGAAGACCTTCCGGCAGGGAGCATTCAAGAATGGAGCATCAAGAAGGTTCCCAGATGACTTTTCCAAACAACACTTTCCACAACCTTGAGGGTAGAAGGAGGCTTCCTGGAGTGGAAGATCAGGGTCCCATAGCTAACCTATCATGGAAAGTTCTGAGAAGCAAGAGGGGCCTCTGTGCTGGGTTGGGAAAGTGGGAATTCGGGGTCTTTTTCAAGCTAGGAGTCAGGCTGGCCACATCCTGCCCACTTGCGGGCATTGGGAACATTAACTGGTCTTCTCGCCTCTCTCCCCTCCACTCCAGCTCACAGCACAGAGAAGTGCTGAGTCCCAGGCAGTAGGCCCAAAAGGAATGGGCCCCACTGACTTTGTACCCTAAGTCTGGCATGGTTCTTAGGGACACTGGGAAGATCTCAGCGAGACAGAAGTGGGGAGAAGATCCTGGGTGAGGAGTCAGGGAGCTGGGCTTTCCTGGAGAGTAGAAAATCTTGAGGGGTTACTGAAGAATGGCAAGAACGGCACAGTAGTGATCAGGGGCTGGCACAGAGAGCCTGGGACCTCTTCCTGGGGGCTGTAGGGATGTAGGTAAACTCCAGGGACATGGTGGCTCATGCCTATAATCCCAGACCTTGGGGGCTGAGTCAGGAGCATCACTGTGTATGAACTGAAGAGCCTGTGCTACATAGAGGGTCTCGTCAGCCCAGGCTGTAGAATGAAACCCTGTCCCCCCAAAACATCAAAGCAGTTACAGTATAGGAACTCAGACAAGGGCCCTACCCCCTATTTCCCAGGAGCATATGGTGACAGCAGGCCAGAGGGAGCAACTCC